GGGAAACAAACAAGAAAGTCAAACCAGAAGTGGAAAGAACATCCTCTAGTGATTAAATGTTCTCTGCACCCACACTCATGTTTTTTTCAGTCATCCAGCTTCTATCTCAACTATAAACTAACTTCACTGATTTTTTGTTATTAATTATTTTTAATTGTTTTACTTGCCTATAAGTAAACAAAACCTTTTCCCACATTTAGGTTGAATGTTGTGATTGGTTATCTGGTATTTTATTAGATGTCTCGAATAACTATTTGGAAGTTTTAAACTCGAGTTACACAACAAACCTTCCTTGTATCCCTATCCAACTGAGTAGGGGCTATAAAGGCCCCCCTGGTCCATGCCAGCCCCCTCCTGCCCCCTCATGCAAGCTGTCACTTTGCTGGCTCAGGTAGCAGTGGATTCAACTATGAGGAAGGCTCTTCTGTTTTAAAAGAGCATAAAATGGGTTGGTTTACAGTGAAAGCGTGACCCCAAGAGCCAGAACTGACCCTATAAGCACTGAGCAGCTTGAACTGTGCTGCATCTTAACAAACACAAGGCAGCTGCTGGCTGAGCTATGTTCATTGATGGGGAAGAAATGCCTGTAACAAAGTCTGTCTTCTTTCTCTAAGTACTGGAGAAAACATAACAAAAGGCCTCAGTACTCATAATCAGAGTATAGAAAATCAATGCTGCAGACACTGCTGCTCCTTGCCTTCCACCTTTACACACTGCAGCTGCTSGTGCCTATTTAGTGTCCACTGCCTCCAGCCCAGGTGAGGAAACTCATTCTGAGTAAGCTCTGGTAGGCAAGATCACAGCAGGAACCGCCAAAAACAAAGTGCTTGTTTCCTCATCTTACTGATTGCAAGAAAAACAACCCTCTCATATTTCTTCTCTTCCAGCAGGACACCATGCTGGCCCAGGAGGGAGAGAAGAGGCCACTGTGCCATGCCATGTGTTACATGGCACTGCAGCAAGGAGCAGGGCAGAGWCTGCAAGAATGCTGGATGGCTGCACACTGCAGGAAGAGATCAGGAAGGAACTATGGCAAGTGAGTGACTCACATCATTAAGATCTGGCATGGGCGAGTGGCAAGATAGCAACATGATTTTACCATAAAAGGGGCAAATGTGTTACTGCTGTGATATGTGATTCAATTAAATGGCAATGTCAATTAAATAGCTCCCAGATATTTTGTTTGGAAGCTTGCAAGGCTTTGTTTCCTGCTAAAGCTTTTCGTTGAATACTAACAATTAGTTCCCCTGCAAATGAGACTGATTGCACAGCAGAGACTGTGACACTCTGGGATTCTATTGAAAAGCTGGGTTCAAGTCCATCCCTAGGAGAGTATTTGGGTTGAGTATCTTCAGCAGGAATGTGAATGAATAGTTTGAACAGAGTGTAACCTTGGAGATGCTTAGTGCTCATCAGACTGGAGGAGAGTGAACTCTGCAGGAGACCTTGGACTCTCATTGGCAGCACCTATTCGTTATGATGGGGACTGTTTCTTTCAGATTTTGATCAGAAACTCTTTCTTTGGCCAGAGACGGAATTTCAGTTTAGTGCCAGGAGAGCAGAAACCTTTAAGCAAACAAACCTCCCTCCTAACAAGACAACWTAGATACAACTTGCAGTCTGTCTTTTAGAGAATGCCCTAGCTCTGTGTTATTTCATTTGTAGTGTTCTGCAGTTATGAGTTTGTTGAAATGTCCAAATACCATACATTTTATGGCTCTGAGACCATTGCCATTTCCTGGAAAGCCTCAGCCTTCACCCAAGACATTTGACAGCAGTTTCGCCACACACTAATACTCTCCACCTGCCTCAAGGAAAGCAGCACCCATGGCACGGCTGTTCCCAGCTGGCAGTGAGCCATTCTCAGGTTAGTTTTCCCTGGAGAGGTGACCTTGATCAAGCCCAGTAGAAGCTGCTGCTGTRGTCCAGGCCCCAGTCTGCCCTCCATCCCCCCATCTCTCAGTCCCTCCATTCCTTCATTCCTCAGTCCCTGCATCYCTCAGTCTCTCTGCCTCTCCTTTCCTCCATCCTTCCGTCCTTCTGTCCCTTCTTCCTTGCATCACTCAGTCTCTCCTTCCCTCCATCCTTCTGTCCCTTCTTTCGTCCATCTCTCTGTCCCTCCATCCCTGCAGTCCTCCATTCCTCTGTCCCTTCATTCCTCTGTCCGGTCATTCCTCAGTCCTTGCATCCCTCAGTCTCTCTGCCTCTCCTTTCCTCCATCCCTCTGTCCCTTCTTTTGTCCATCCCTC